GTCAAAGCACTTCATTACTGGATGACCAGCTCTTTATTTTCAAAATGAATTTGATATAAAGCTATCAAGATTAATTTGATTTTGTATAAATTGATTTTTTTTTCAACAATCAGTTTGCAGAGTGACATAACACATAATTGCAATATATTTTTTTAATGCAGAAATAAAAAGATAAAATAACAAAAATAATGTTACAATGGAATTACAATGTATAAGTATTGATGTTTCATTCATTAAGAAACATGATGAGCATGCAATTATATTTCACTGTAAGTAAATTGTGAACACCTCTAGATCCATAAAGTATTTCTGAATTGGCACCTTCTCTGAAAAACCCAGTGGGGGGTATTTGTCCCTACTGGACAGTTCTAGTTCATTCAGCGTTCTCCTGGCCCCCTTGCGAGACAAAAAAGATTCAGGTCTCTAAGAGAAATTTAGATTATGGCATGGCATGATGTTATTTCGCTATAAATGTGGCTATGTCAAACTTTAAGAAGTTTATTTTTATAAGTTAAAGTCCGAACTGAACAAGAAATTGACACTTAATCATGATCAGTGCGTATTCCTTTAGACATGCAGTTGCTACATTTAAGTTTTGAACAAAAGTCCAAGGTAAGCAGTATAAACCACTTTACATTATAAGAGAGAGGAAATTTTGTGGAGCGATTGTTTTCGGATTTTTACGATTTTTACCTATTGCACACATGATGAATAAGTATAAACAATTTAGTAATTCATTTATGAAGAAAGATTTAGGGGGGTCTGTTCACAAGTATCTGTGGTCCATAATTTTGTGACAAATTTTATCAGTTTCATTTCTTCAAAAGAGAACTCGATTTTATGTATATATTCTTACAGGGATGATGCAGGGATGTCAATCTTGAAATACTGGTGTTAGGGTGGGATATATTGACTACATAGTGAAAATGCATAAATTCTTTAAAAATCTTTTCTTTTGCTCCTGGGCATTAAACCAATGATAAGGCCGATGGGTCTCTTGTTAGCTCACCTGAGCCAAAAGCTCAGGTTAGCTTTTCTGATCACATTTTGTCTGCTTTCCGTCTGTGACTGTCCGTCTGTAAACTTGTCACTTTTTCAACTTCTTCTCAAGAACTACTGTGCCAAATTTGATCAAACTTGACACAAAGCATCCTTGAGTAAAGGGGAGTTTAAATTGTAGAAATGAAAGGCCAAGTCCCCTACCAAGGGGAGATAATCAAGAAAAGACAAAGATAGGGTGGGGTCATTAAAAAATCTGAAGAAGAACCACTGGGCCAGAAAAGCTTAAACTTATTTGGAAGCATTCTGGGGTAGTGAAGATTCTTTTAAGATTCTAAATTGTTCAAATCATGACCTCCAGGGGTTGGGCAGGACCAGAATAGGGAATCAAAGTTTAACACAGAAATATATAGGAAAAAACTTCTTCACAAGAACCACTTGGTCAGGAAAACTGAAACTTATATGGAAGCATCCTATGGTATTGTAGATTTAAAATTTCTTAGATCGTGACCGCAGGGATTATAGGGCAGGGCCACAATAGGGAACCCAAGTTTTACATTGAAATATATAGGAAAAAATTTGTAAAATCTTCTTCTCAAGAACCACAGGGCCAGAAAAAAATGAAACTTATATGGAAGCATCCTATGGTAGTGTAAATCTTAAATTGTTCAAATCATGGCCCATTGGGGTGGAGCAGGGCCACAATAGGGAACCCTAGTTTTACATTGAAATATATAGAAAAAACTTCTCAGGAACTACAGGGCCAGAAAAGAAGAAGCTAAGTTGGAAGCATCCTTAGGTAATGTAGATTTAAAGGCCACAATGGACTTTCAAAGTTTAACATAGAAATGTATAGGGAAAATCTTCAAAAATCTTCTTCTCAAGATTAGCAAAGCCATGATTGGTAATATGTATTTAAATGGAAGCATCTGCAGGTGGTGTATATTTAAGTTTGTTACGTCACCTGAGTAACTCAGGTGACCTATATATTGCTATCCGTTTTTGTCCGGCGTCGTCCTTCGTGTGTTAACATTTGAAAATTTTCACTTCTTCTTTTAAACTACTGAACCAATTTCAACCAAATTTAGTATACAGCATCTATGGCTGAAGAGGAACAAAAATTATGTATTTCATGGTCCCTGCCCCCTTTGGGCCTTGGGGGTGGGGCCAAAACCACTAAAATTATTACAATCTTCAAAAATCTTCTTCTTTACTCTGGGACATCAAGCAGGCAAACTGTTGGCATGAATGTATTGAGCATTGATTTTCTACCAGAATTGTGAAATTCATGGCCCCTAGGTCAGGGGTTCTAGTGCTAGGGCTTGGCTACTGTAAATCACTATTTATTCACGAGAACTTTATTTTTGCGTAATTACGCGAGACAATATGCTCGCAAAAATTTCATTCTCGCGTTTAATAGTATTCCTTAAGATTATATAGAGCAATGACCATAATTCGTGAAAATTTTCTCTCGCTAATAAAGAGTCAATGACTATCTCGCAAAAATAAGGTGTCGCGAAAATTAAGTGATCTACAGTATATAGATTATGTAGTGAAAATGCATTATTTCTTTGAAAATCTTCTTTTCTGCTCCTGGGTATTAAATTAACTAACTAAGCACATAGTTATGATGAGCAAGAGTGCCTCTTCCAGTATTGTGAATTTTATGGCCACGGGGTCAGGGGTTCTAGTGCTAGGGAGGGGCTTTATAGATTATATAGTGAAAATGCATTATTTCTTTGAAAATCTTCTTTTCTGCTCCTGGGTATTATATAAACTAACTAAGTACATAGTTATGATGAGCAAGAGTCCTCTTCCCAAACTGTGAATTTTATGGCCCGGGAGTCAGGGGTTTTGGTGTTAGGGTGGGGCTCTATTGATTATATAGTGAAAATGCATTTATTCTTTGAAAATCTTCTTCTCTGCTTCTGGGTATTAAATTAACTAACTAAGCACATAGTTATGATGAGCAAGAGTGCCTCTTCCAGTATTGTGAATTTTATGGCCCAAGGGTCAGGGGTTCCTGGTGTTAGGGTGGGGCTCTATTGATTATATAGTGAAAATGCATTTATTCTTTGATAATCTTTTCCTTTGATCCTGGGTTTTATACCAATTATCCAAGTATATATATTTATGATGAAGAAAGGTGCATCTAGCAAAATGGTTATTTTTTATGCCCCCCACCCTCCTTAGTTGGGGGGGGGGGGGGGGTTACATAGTCTGAAAATAAATTAATGCTTTGAAATTTGCTCTTTAATATTAATCAACCATTTTATGATAAAATTTGCAAAATTTTGAAATATGTGGCCCCAGGGTCAGTGGTTCCTTTGGGGAGAGGTGCAAAACTGGTTATAAAGTGGAAGTGCATTTTCTCTTTGTTACTCTGATATCTACCTCTGGGTATTAAGTAAATAGAGTAAGCATGGTAAGTTTATAATTATGATAAGCAATAGTGCCTCTTTCAAAATTGTGAATTGTGAATTTCATGGCCTCTGGTTTAAAACCAAATTTAATTGTTTGAAAGTTGTTACACAATACTCAGGTGACCTATAAGGCCCGTGGGCCTCTTGTTTAAATCATGACCTCCAGGGGTAGGGTGGGGCCACAGTGGATGATCAAAGTTTTGCATAAAAATGTATGGGGAAAATCTTCTTCTCAAGAACAGCAAAGCCATGAATAGTCATATATGGAAGCATACTCATGTGGTGTAGATTTAAGTTTGTTCAAATCATGACCCTCGGGGGTGAGGTGGGGCCACAATGATTTGTCAAAGTTTTACATAGGAATAAACAGAAAAAATTTACTTCTCAAGAACAGTAAAGCTACAATTGATCTTTTTTTTTCATATGGAAGCATTTTCATGTGGTGTAGATTCAAGTTTATTCAAATCATGACCCCCAGGGGGTAGAGTGGGGCCACAATGAAATTCAAACTCAAAGGGAAAAAGTCAGTCAAAAAAAATATGTTTGCATGCTTAGTTAGTGTAGATTTAATTTTGTTCAAATCATACCCCCTCTCCCTTTTAGGGTTAGGTTGGGGCCAAAGGCTCAAGTGAGCTTTTCTGATTGAAATTTGTCCGTTGTCTGTTGTCGTTGTTGTCATTGTAAACTTTTCACATTTTCATCTCCTTCTCAAGAACCATTGGGCCAATTTCAACCAAACTTGCCACAAGGTATCCTTGGGTAAAGGGGATTCAAGTTTGTTCAAATGAAGGACCACACCTTCTTCAAAGGGGAGATAATCATAAATTAGTAAATAAATGTATGGCATATTTTAAAAATCTTTTGAAGAACCATGCACTGGGCCAGGAAAGATGAAACTCATGTGAAAGCATCCTCATGTGATGTAGATTCAAGTTTGTTCAAATCATGACCATACAAAAAATCTTTAAAAGTCTTCTTTTCAAGAACCACTAGGCCAGGAAAGATGAAACTCATGTAGAAGCATCCTCTGGTAGTGTACATTCAAATTTGTTCAAAACATTACCCCCGGGGGTAGGGTGGGGCCACAATGGAGTATCGCATTTCAACCTAGGAATACATAGGAAAAATCTTTTAAAAATCTTCTTCTCAAGAACAGCAAAGCCATGATTGGTCATAGTTTTATGGAAGCATCCTCTTGTAGTGTAAGTTCAAGTTAGTTCAAATCATGACTCCCAGGGGTAGGGTGGGGTATGGAGTATCATATTTTAACATAGGAATACATAGGGGAAATTTTTAAAAGTCTTTTTCTCAGGAAAAGCAAAGCAATGATTGGTTATATTTATATTGAAACATCCTCTTTCCCTTGATTTACATAAACGAAACTAAAAGAAGGTTCAGTACGACTTTTATTGATTTAGGGTATCCATGGGCATTTTAAAATATTCAATTGTTTCAAATCCACGCTGATTTAGGTGATGCTTAACTTGCTTTTTAATGAGAAATATCCACTAGTATCTAACTATTCCCAAAAAAGAACTTCTCCCTTCTTATACACACTTGCATTTGATATTTCTGTAGAGAGTTCAAGCAAGGCACTTGTGTTCCTTTTGCTGGTAGTGGAAATGAGGAAAACAGAAACAACAGTTACCCTCAGAAGGCAGCTTTTGCTCAGCCCTCAGGGCTGACCCTAGGATACACGAAGGATGGGGGCTTTCTATTTGTTGCAGACAGTGAGAGTTCTACAATAAGAAGTGTGTCATTAAAGGATGGTGCTGTTAAGCACATAGTAGGGGGAGAAAGAGACCCAATGGTAAGTGCTTGTGATTTGAAAATAATCAACATATTATAAATATTTTAATGGACCGTCATGGTTTTTAACCAGTATTTTGTAAAAACTTATGCCCTGTTCACACCATCGTCGCAAACCATGGCCAGAATGTACGATCCCCTCCCACTCTGGCCGTGGTTGAATGAGAAGAGAATTTCTCGTAGCTCATTAAGATTTTGTCCAATGCGAGTAAAGCATAGTCTGATGATGATCTTTGATGTGACCTTTCAATATCCAATCACAGTGTATGAAATTCTGCTCGTGTCAATTTTTGATTTCATTTGCGATGGAAACAAAACTTGTCATTGAGTGAATTTGGCGTCAGAATAGAGAGGGGTAAATATTCAAGATTACGACACATTTTGTGATAAAGCAGCCACGGGTAGGAGAGAGCTATATGCGGACACTGGACAATGGCTTGAGACGATGTGTTTACACAGAGAGTTTAATTTGAATTAAACGTAAGTTACCATGAATTCTACCACAATTATTGCCGAGATCAAAAAAAAAAGCCGCAGTCATTATTCTCCAATAAATCACGAACGTCATCAAAACATTATCAGATCAGAAACTCGTATCAAACCTGTGCATTTGAAATGTACATTTGACTTAAGAATGAAATACTTATTAAGACCACATTGATGTGTCGTCTTTTGCAATTTAAACACTGTATATTGCAGAAAGTAGCAGATGAGTGTAGGTTTCTAAAGCCAAGCAGGGCTGTTTCTCGAACCTCCCTACGCCATATTTAAGCTCCATGATTTTAGTGATAAGGTGGTAAAGTAGAAAATTGATTTTGTTATTGTGTATTCAAAAAGATTAATCTATATAAGCTACAAACAGATTTACAATTAATAAAAGGCTAATTTTAATGCAGTGAAAGCTTAAATCATCTGAATTCTATTCACAGGTAACCGTAAACAAACAAATTTACACTCTGGTGCTAAATGGAACAGCGTTATCGTAGCATGGTGACCTAATTCGTTCTCTCATATCTTAGAGCTGCTATTGCATGTAGTAGAATAGAAATAAAGTCCGTGTTTTCGTGAATGTTGCAGAATAACCTCCGAGGTCGAGAAATGTTGTTTGAAATATAAAAGCCTCGGCTAACACCTCGGCTTTTATCTTTCAAACAACATTTCTCGACCTCAGAGGTTATTCTGCAACATTCACGAAAACGCGGATTTTATTTCTTAATTAAATTTGAACTGCGTTCACACGAGGAGTTTAATGTGAATTAGTTTAATTCGAATTGATTTACTGTGCATTAAATTACTTTGCATTAGCTCTGTGTGAACGCTAAGCAAAGCTAAATCGAATTAAATTTTGAGACATTTCAGTGATGGCAAAATTAAGTCAAATGCCATATGTCTGTTGTAAGCTTTAAGAAATTGTGCTATTTTTGAGTGAAAAACTAAGGAAAATTGTGTAAAAATGTGTGTACAGACACTGTGACATTATGTCAAATGCATCAGCTTCTGCATTCTGATTTTCAAATGAAGTCATAATAGCCTTACTGACGCCTGACTGTAGAAGAAAGATGTGGAGATAACGAACAGTATTCAATATCAAAGTCCATAAAACAATACAAATTAGGAGCAGAGCAAATATGGACCTCCCAAACATTAGAGGTGGGATCAGGTGCCATGGAGGAGTGAACATCCCCTGCTGATAGGTCACACCCGCCATGTGCTCATTGTCATGATCGGAAAATAACAGAAAAATCTGTCATCAATTCAGTGTATAAATAATGGAATAACAATTAGTTTGAAAAACATCAGTCAGCATTTGACTCAATGATAAATTGTATTTGTTGACAAAGTCATGTATCGACCATAGAACTTACGAAATGATGACTTTAAACAAGACTGCTGATATTCTTTTTTCATCAACTTGTTTTTCAATAATTTACCTCATTTTAGAAATTGTTCATACTTTAAGCATGCTCTTGCGTATCGAATCAACTGAGATATATATACTCTGTATGCAGATGATGAAGGTATATTGCTGCATAAGAAAGGGAAGTTGACTATAGAAAAGTTAAAGTCATCAAGTTTATCATAGAGCTTGGTTGTTAGTTAAGGAATCACTGTCTAGTTAGTGTAGTATGCCAGTACTGTCTAGTTAGTGTAGTATGCCAGGGCATCAACGATAGTGGGAAACATGGGATAATTTTCATAACGGGCGAAGCATAAATTATCCCATGTTTCCAACTATCGTTCATGTCCCTGGCATACTACACTAACTAGACAGTGATTCCTTATATTTCCATTTCATTACGAAATAAAATTGTAGATTTAAACTTTAAAAATGTAGATGAATAGATTTAAATTACATGAGGACTTCCATGTCAATTTTAATAGTCCTCGCCCACTGACGTCAAACACAAAGGCAGCTGCACGAGATTCACATGCATATTTGACCTCCTTAGCATCAGACACAGAGACAGATGCACACGAGATTTGCATGCGTATTAGCCTCCTTAGCTCCTGACCTGTCGACCTGCCTAATTTACATTCCGGCAGAATTATCAAGAAATAAACTCCTCCTAACTTTCAAAGAGTTATCACAGAGAAAAAAAAATTAGAAATGGAAATATATTACCATTAACGTCTTTTTCAAGTAAAATATCCAGAAGAAAAATGCTCATTAGTTTACTTCGCTTTAGCTGTCGTATGAACGCACTTTAATTTGCATTAGTTTGATTCGCATTAGTTTACTTACATTAATTTACTGCAAATTAAACTCATCATGTGAACAGGGCATAAAACAAATTTAAAAGGACACGGTGACTCACAAAGGGGAAAATTGACAAATGTAGAATTTTTGCATGACCCATGTAAATTTTTAGGACATTTTTAGGGCCTGTCTGGGTCCAGAATTTGGCAGCAGTCCCAAGTGAATAAACTTATACTTTCCCAAAAATATGTTAAGGGTTTTCTCAAAGAAAATCTTACTAAATTTGTGATTAAAATCAGTTTCTGTAGTTATCATGATGATTCTCAATAAACTCCAGCATGTTAGACAGCCATTTTGGATTTCCTCATTAGATAATTCATTCCACTATTGTTCTTGATGTATATTATGAGTTAACTTTTATCTGAAATATTCTTGAGCTGCTTGTCAAGTAAGTATAAAACTCATATGACAGTGTTTTCTTGAAATCCAAAAATAGCCAAATTTACTTTGCATTCTTCAATTCAGCTAGCCCCCCCCCCCCCCCCCCCCCCCTAAAATGCATTATTTTAACACTTAAGATTCGAACTTGAATTCACTATTATTGAATACCGTATAATCCCTATTAAACCCCCCCCTCCCCCGCCCCTATAAGTGCCCCCTTAGGTCTTTTTCATCTGTCAGGAAATAAGGGCCCCTGTACAGTGATTGAAATCATTTTAAGTAAAGTTTAACATTATTATAGTGGTTTTTTGAATTTATATTTTTTCAAAAGATTTTTTTAACTTAAAATATGACATTATGATAAATATTATAAAGAGAATATTAAAATAACTGCCCCCTTTTCGCAATTTTCTAAGCACCTGGGCGGTTAATAGGGATTATACGGTAATTTCTGGGGGAAAAAAAATGCTGGAAAATTTTTTGGGAAGTTTCTAGTATGCCGGTCCCCAGAATCACGCGATTGCGCATGAGCAGTTATTTCCCTCTCCGTTGCTATGCAGAATGTAAACAAACCGCAATTTCCCACTCGCTTCAGCAAAACGCATCCGATCGAGTGATTAGGGTTAGGTTATATAGTTTTTAAAATTGGGATTGTTTTATAAATCCACTCTGCAATCTTTCTGACTTTGGGCTAATTTATGTAATTTTTGTTTACTTGCATGAATCAGCTTGTCGAATCGTGCCGATATGTTACACTTAGGTTTAGTTCATGAAATTTTTGCTTTACAAAGAACAGGAAAGTTTTATAAATGAAAGTTCCGGTAAATAAACTCGATCTAATGTCGAAACATGACGATTTTCAGCGCTGAGTTTAGGCAAGTTATTGTAAAAGCGACTTACCGTTAACTGCAGCTCAATATCCTGACCTCCTAATGTCCAAATATTCAGAATATTTTTCCTTTCAAATCGATGATGATGCCCATTTCCATCCATTGATGACTAGTAATAACTAACCTTTGTTAAATCCCTGTATTTCTCAAAAAAATCTCGCAATTTTAATAGCATTGCACTTTGAGTCCTATCAGGCATTTCTTCATTACGTCAAAACACAAGTGACGCATCTCATGAATATTTATGAGATTACGTCAAAAATTGATCATGTGACCACAATCCGAAACAACGCAAGATGGAGTTTTACTTCCTAAACAAGTACATTATTTTACGAAATCTTTTAATTCTCATTTAAAAAACTGTGTTTAAAAACCAGTTTTTTAAACCCAATTTTTTTTTTTTGAATCCTGCTGTTGTGCTTCCCTGCTGTGCTTTAATATGTTACTATTTATATTTCATTTTATAGAACCTCTTTGCATATGGAGATCAAGATGGTATTGGGTTTGATGTAAAGTTACAACATCCACTAGGAGTTGCCATGATATCTGACTCTGCTTCAATTCTGGTTGCAGACTCATACAACCATAAGGTAAAGATACCAAATTAAAAAATCAATATTTTACCTTTGGGTGAATTTTTCCTATGAAAGTATGCATCCTTTTCCCTGTTGTTTCTTGATGTTTGTAATAAATCATTGTAAATGAGGAAAAGGATGTGTGGGGTGTTTTATGCTAAATATTTGAAAATAAATCTTTTGCATTATTATTACCCCCCCCCTTTCCATACAGATATCTTGTATGTACAGTCAAACCTTACTATCTCAAATTTGAGGTGATCTGCCAGAAAAATTTTTGAGCTTTCTACAGGTTTGACATTGAATGAAAATAAAGTAAAGAAAATGTTGTTGGGACTTTGAAAATACATGTACTTCAATATATACCCCTGGTATTTGAAATATCAGGCTCGGAAATATGTGAGTTTGCAACAAAGTTCCCTAATTAACAATACAAAAAAGGATCGAAGTGTGAAAAAAGTTCCCTAATTAAAGCTACAAGAATGATTTAAGTATGAAACAAGATGTGTTTGTAAAACTCAATGCAACAAAAGTCGAAAAAGCTAATTTCACAGTAAAGGTCACAAGGTCATTGACCTTGGTGTCTTTGAAAGAACAATATAGTAAGTGGAGTATGCATACTTAATATGAAGTTTTTATCTCCTATATTTCTAAAGTTACGGCGAAAGTTTAAAAAAAAAAAATTTTTAGTATATGGGTCACAGTCAGGTCACAAGGTCATTGACCTTTGTGTTATTTGAAAGAGCTGAATCAGGAGAATATGCATACCAAGCATGAAGTCTCTATATCCTATGGTACAAAAGCTATGGCGAAAGTTTGAAAAAGCTATTTTTAGCATATAGGTCACAGTCAAGGTCACAAGGTCATTGACTTTGGTGTCATTCAAAGAACTGAACTAATGGAGTATGCCAGGGATGGGGTATTTGAAAAAAGTAATTGTAATTGACTGTATTTAATTACATTTTTAGCTCACCTGAGCCGAAGGCTCAAGTGAGCTTTTCTGATCACATTTTGTCCGTCGTCCGTCCGTCCGTCTAGCTGTCTAGCTGTCTGTTTGTCCGTCTGTCTGTCCGTCTGTAAACTTTTCACATTTTTGACTTCTTCTCAAGAACCACTGAGCCAATTTTGACCAAACTTGGTACAAAGCATCTTTGGGTGAAGGGGAATTTAAATTGTTAAAACAAAGGGCCAAGTCCCCTCACAAGGGGAGGTAATCAAGAAAAGACAAAAATAGGGTGGGGTCATTAAAAAATCTTCTTCCCAAGAACTGCTGGGCCAGAAAAGCTGAAACTTATGTGGAAGCATCCTGGGGTAGTGTAGATTCTAAATTATTTAACTTTTGACCCCCGGGGTAAGGCGGGGCCACAATGGGGAATCAAAGTTTTATATAAAAATATATAGGAAAAATCTTTGAAAATCTTCTTCTCAAAAACCACTGGGCCAGAAAAGCTGAAACTTATGTGGGAGCATCCTGGGTTATTGGAGTATTTAAATTGTTCAAATCATGACCCCCGGGGGTAGGGCGGGGCCACAATTGGGAATCAAAGTTTTACATAGAAATATATAGGAAAAATCTTTGAAAATCTTCTTCTCAAGTACCACTGGGCCAGAAAAGCTGAAACTTATGTGGAAGCATCCTGGGGTAGTAATGATTCTAAATTGTTCAAATCATGACCCCTGGGATAGGGAGAGGCCACAATGGGCAATGAATATTTTACAAAGAAATATTTAGGAAAAATCTTTGAAAATCTTCTCAAGAACCACTGGGCCAGAAAAGCTGAAACTTATGTGCACATGGAAGCATTCTGGGGTAGTGTATATTTCAAAATGTCTTAATTATCAGTGGGGTTGGGTGGGGTCGCAATATGTATTACAAGGGGGAAATCTGGTAAAGAACAAAATGGTCAAAGCTTCTCAGGTGAGCGATGTGGCCCATGGGCCTCTTGTTTGAAGTAATTGTAAGTAATTTGTAATTGAACATTTTTTCAATTACTTGTAATTGTAATTTATTTAATTACACTGAAAAAATATCATGTAATTTCAATTACTTTTTCAATTACATTCAAATAATTTTTATAATACACATGCATGATATATTGTCACCACGACCTCCCCATTATACTATCTTTATTTTATAGCAAATCATATCCCTCAGTCCTTCAGTTATACAGAAGACAGATTATTTTCTAATTCTAATGTAGTTTCTTTCTTATCATTATATAAAATTTTATTTTTTTTTTGTTTTATGTTTACCTGAATTTTGCACCACCATTCTTAGGTTCTATTAAGCTATGAAACACACATAATTTATTATATTTTAATCTCTGTTGTTTGTTCAATGAAGAATAAGAATATGTGTGTCAAGAAAAAAAAGAAAAGGAATGTGTGTGTCATTTAATGAAGTTCTCTCTTGTTGGTATTAAGAGATGTAATTGCTCTCCAGATCACACCTGTAAACTAGACCTTATTTTTGTCGTTCAACAAAAACGGAGGGCTTTTCGACCCCTAAAAAGAAGAATCTTATATTACACATTAAAAACACTCAAATAATACAATTTCAAAAGTTCTTTTGAAATCAATACTGAATTGAAAACATAACGATTCTCTTTGTCCACCAGTGTCTACTCAAAGAGAAATAACTCTTCCATCAACATTTAAAACATACGAAAATGTACTGTTTTTCAATCGACTAAAACTCCTATAAGGGTCAAAAAATGACCCCATGCACGGCCAATATTTTTTAAACTGCACTCTTTATGCTTAATGCCAAACCAAAATTAGTTTGAAGATTGCTTGAGAAATAAAATAGTTACGGAGAAAAGGCTGTTTTCTGAATTGACCCCTAAAATCCCTTCTATTTAAAGAATTTTTCTTTCCATGACCTTACCAACTTGAAACAATGATGGATTCATGTGAAATATCATGAGCATTGCTTGCTTCAGTTTTGATATATGGGACATTGTATGATTTCATATTTAACATAGAAATCTCCATAGACAATTTTAAGGGACTCATAAAACTGGAAGTACTCTTCATATGCATATGAAATTTGAAACATAGAAAGCATATTAGACTCCAAACAGGTTGACACAGGGAGATAACTCTTGCATTATTATTTTTTTAAAAGACATAAAAATACATAATTTCAGGTCTCTAAAACACCCATAAGGGATCAAAAAGTGACCCCACGAACCATTATTTTTAAATTGCCCTTTTTATGCTTAACTCAAAACCGAAATCAGTTTGACGATCTATGGACGAATAAAAAAGCAATATACAAAAAACTAATTTCTGTACTGACCCCTAAAATCCCTTTTATTTTAGGAAATTTTATTTTCATGATCTAAATATCGAAAGGCAATGCTAAAGTCATTATTTATGTGAAATATCATGAGACTTGCTTGCTTCCCTTTGAAAATAATGGACATTGAATGATTTCAAATTTAACATAGAAATCTCCATAGGCAATTTTAAGGTACTTATAAAACCGGAAGTACTCTACATATCCATACCAAAATTGAAACATAGAGAGCATATCACACTCCAAACAGTTTGCCAAAGGGAGATAACTCTTGCACAATTATTTTTGAAAATACTTAAAAAATACAATATTTCAAACCTATAAAAGTCCTTTAAGGGGTCAAAAAGTGACCCCACGGCCCATTATTTTTTTAAATTGTACTTTTGTTACTGAACTCAAAACTGAAATCAGTTTGAAGATTGGTTGACAAATTAAAAAGTTACAGGGCAAAAACGATTTTAAGAGTTGACCCCTAAAAGTCCCCAATTTTTAAGGATTTAATTTTCATAACCTTTTCACCTGAAGACAATAATAAATCAATTACTCCCTGTAAATATTGCTAGAATTGCTTACCCTCTTTTTGAGATAATGGAAGACGCAAGATTCTCTTTTACTATAGAAACTCCCATAGACAATTTCAAAGCCTCGTAGAACCGGAAGTTCTGGACTGGTGGACTTGAAACTTACATTACAGCCTTTAATTACTTTGATAAACAATATATAATCCTCAAAATAAATTTCCTACATTGTTTACAATTTTTTTAATTTCAATCCCCCCTTTTCTTAATTTTGGAGCCCTATAACACAAAAATATACCATAGGTGCAAAAACGCTAACGATGACTTTTTTGTAGATATGACTTTGAGGAATACATTCCTAAATTTTGAACGAAATTGCATGTAAAATAAGGAATGTTTTAGGCTTTAAAGAAAATATAGTTTTTGACTTATAAATACCGGAAGTGACGTTTACGGAAGGACAAAACCTTACTTATGGGACACTTTTAGATGTTCTGTTAAATGGTTTTGTTCTAAATTACAGATGTGTAGTGGTTTTCTTTAAATCCTTGACGTAAAAGTGTTAAGTATAATAATAATAATAACTAAGACCTTATTTTTGTCGTTCAACAAAAACGGAGGGCTTTTCGACTCCTAAAAATTAAGGAGGTTAAAGTGAATTGGTTATTACATAATAAAATTTCAAAAGGTTCATTATTCTTTAAGTTTTGGTGATATCAATAATGAAACATTACAAGTCGCTATATTCATCAACGGCTACTCAAAGAGATATAACTCTTTCATAATTATTCAAAACATGCAAAAGAAAAGAAACCTGTCTGTTTTTCAATTCACTAAAACTCCTATAAGGAGTCAAAAAGTGACCCTACAGAACATATTTCTTTAACTGCCTTTCTTAAGCTTAACTCAAAACCGAAATCACTTCGAATATTGATGGGTAAATAAAAAAGTTACAGCCAAAAAACTATTTTCTGTACTGACCCCTAAGATCCCTTAAATTTAAAGAAATTTTATTTTCATGACCTAATTAAACGAAGACAATGCTTGAGTCATTATTCATATGAAATATCACAAGAATTGCTTGCTTGATTTCTGAGATTATGAAACATACGTTATTACAAATTTAACATAGAAATCTCCATAGGCAATTTTAAGGCTCTCATAGAACCGGAAGTACTCTTCATATCCATACTAAA